CTTTCTTTCTTTCTTTCCACAGCCATCGGCAGAATCATCTTTCGTCTTCGTCTCGGTCGGAATTTTTTTTTTTTTTTTTTTTTTTTTTTTTGCTTCCCCCCCCCCCCCCCTTTCTAAAACTAATGAGAAAAAAATTAACTGAAATAAGTGGCAATGAAGGCTTATTTCTAGAATGAAAAGAGAAGGTAAATTTACTTTTTGTTTCTAAATTGCTTAATGAAAACTTATCAATAGCTTTGAGGTTATTGTGATAGATGGCTATATATATATGCATGTAACAGGAACACCTATAAATATCTTTCTTACATAGTTGAGGCTTGTATTTATGGAGTAGGAAGGAATGCGGGCATATTGTATAAATAAGACTTATATAATGCAATGAGTCTGCAAATTTTAAATGCAGTCCCAGTATGGTTGGCACACTAGTGAGTAGCTGTGCTGTTATACCAAATGTTTCACCTTTTCTACTTGGAAAAAAGGCAAACCTTGTTCATGCTGAGTCATGAAAGCAACCATTTTGCAGGATGGAATGTGCCTCTGTGTAAGAACAAAATGCAACACAGTCTTAATCTTACTATATCTATTGTACAGGTGGGAAAATAGTATAAAATGATGGAGAAACTAGAAACCTTTTTTTGGGAAGGAATGAAAATTATCTTTAAATATTTTAAATCTCAAACACTTCAAGATTTTTTTTCATTTCATTTAATCATGTCATCATTTTCTTTCAGTTATTTTAATGTAACGTTTTACTTCTTTGCATTTTAAATTTTACTTTTATTTGCTCCCATCCTTCAGCTCACCGCATGCATCTTAGTCCAATGGAAAACTTTATTGTTTCTCGACTGCTGACTCCCACACAGTCATCTTTAGCCAGAAGCAGAAGTACATTAATGCTTTCTGAGCAATACAATAATCCAGGTAAAAATGTGAATTACTCACTTTGAAACCGTTAAGGTATGGTTTTGGTTGCATTTGAGTAATTGCTGAAAGAAATGGAGTACTATGAACCAAGTGACAATTTACATGATAGTACAAAATCAGCGATGAACTAAGTTGTTCATGATAGCAGCATATTTAAAAACTTGAGAAAACACATAATCTTGTCTTTTTCTAAATGTCTTTGAAAAGAAATAGTTTAAAAAAACCAACCAACCAAAAAAAAACCCCAAAACCCAAACAAACAAACAAACCCCCCAAAAATTGAGTTAACAAATTCAGCAAAACCTAAGCCAATGGAAAACTTAATATAGTTGTCATAGTAATTTAAGAAAAAGATTAAGACCCGTGTGACACCTCTCAGAGGCTTTATTTGACGTATTAATGTCATCCCCTTTCCTACCCAAATAGTATGTAGAACAAGAATCCCAGTGCACCATTTGAGCCTTAATTTTTTACCAGGGTTCCAGTTCTTTGCTGTTAAATTACTTCTTGCCTTTAACTGTGTGACTGTATGTGTATTTATATGTGTGTGTATACACATAAAATGATACTTACTTAGAGGAAAAAACAGACACACTGATAGGAAGGTGTCAGTTCCAGAAATTATTGATCTTTAAGAAAATAAAAATTAGGAATGATATTTACTATTCCTATCTGTAAATGGCAGTCTAATAAAACCCTTATTTTGCAAACATCTACAAAACTAATGTTTCCAGTCCTGCTAATACTTATGCAAGTGCCTGACTTCCAGAGTAGTTCCTGCTTATAAAGCTATACCTAATCACAGTGTTTGCTGAAACAAGGCCAAAAGTTTAACAGCTTTTTTACTTTCATTAAAAAAAAAAAACAACCAAACAAACAAACAAAAAACCAACCAACCAAAAAAAAAAAAAAACCCCAAACCAAACCAGAAGCCATGCCCAAATGCCTGTCTGCAAAAGGAAACATTTTTTTCTGCATAAAACTGGTTAGACAGTATAAGACTGATCATCTTTATGATCAGTATTTTCATACGGCATGATTGAAATAGGCTGAGGTCCTGCATCTATGCTTTTAATACAAAGCTGTATAAAATTAATTAAAAAGTAAGCCTACTTTCCTTTGTGCATTACTTCTTTGTTGCAGTGCATAGGGACATTGATATTGAATGACTCTGAAATTACTTCCCTTGTTTCTACATTAAAAGCAGCATCTCTTGGAAGCAGAAATGCTGTCATGGAGTACTTGGCCCATGAGAAAATTCCCAGTTTACGTACTGCTCAGGGATCAACTACTGCTAAGACTGAACAAAAGCCAACTTGAAATTAGATCAGTGTATTCTGCTTGAAGTTTTGAGACGGATTGCCCAGATGTTATTTTCTGTGTTGTATTTGATATTGAAGAAGTCAGTAGGGACTTTCTTTGTCTTTCCCCACTCGTTTTGTTTGTAAACTCCCAGCTTTATATCTCTGTTCATCGCAGGATCTTTAAAGTAGCACGCTGGTGTGTCTGACAAGGACACAAATTGGTCTGCTGATCACTTTTCCCCCCTCAGCTGAACCAGGAGTGCTGATGCTGGGAACAGCTCTCTGAACCAGCGTCCTCTTGTCATTTCCTTGCAAGGCAATCGGGCTGTAGCACAGGCTGCAAACAGCATCAGTACTCGGTTTTTCCAGTAATTGCCAGCAAAAGGATTGAGGGAGATCTCCCACTTGTGGTGTGCTTCTCTCTATAGAAGCCATTCCCTGAACAGGGAAGAGGGTTTTTCCTTTTCAGGAGCCCATACTGTGCCTCATGTCATTATGCTTGGGTCAAAATTGCTCTGCTCCTGCATTTTCTGTAAGCTTAGAAATGAGGAGTCTCGATTTAAGGCTCTTTCTCTAGGGCAATGCATTATTAATGTCACTCTGAGTCAATATATTCAGGCAAACAGTTGTTGGACAGATGTAATTAGGTTTTTTTCAGCATTTGAGGTAAAAATACTTATCTTAAGCAGCATTTAAGTTTCTGAACATTTTTCTTGATATTCAGTGAACTTTTGCCAACTTTCTGGGAAGTCCGTCAAAGAATACATAGGCCCAGTTAAACTTAAAAGCATACAAAAGGGCTTCATAAGAAATTTTATAGGACTGCCCTCAATAAAAAGAAAAATATTGGAAATGTGAGTTCCTTTACATTTGATCATAATTACTGCTTTCCCAAAGTCAGTATCATTCTTGACTTCAGTTGAATAAGATTGGAAACGCACTGTCACATGGTTACAATTAGTACGTGTCTTATTAATAAAGCATATACTCAGTTGATTGTTCTATATGTATGTGAAAGTTTCATCTTAGAAGGCAATGTGAACAAAACCAGGAATAAAATAACCCATTTAAAAAAAAAATCCTGTTCATCTTGCAAATAAAGAAAAAATACCCAGAAAGCGTTGCCCTGTAAGCTGTAATACGAGTCGCACTCAAACTGATGTCTACCACAAATAACAATAACTGAAATACCTACAGCAGCACTTAGTTTAGATTTGTTTTGTTGTGGTTTTTTTTTTTCTTAAAGTTAAGTATTATTTTGAAAAGCAGTTAAGGTATTTAAGAACCTTTGCCATGTTTAGGCTTTAGAAAAAAAAAATCCCTACTTTTCTGTCACCTTTCCTGCTTTGCAGTATTTGTTCAAAAGTCACCCAACTAGAATTGTTTGATTACTTTTTATCATATGCAAAGGAAGCTGGACTTTTCAGAAGAGAAAAGAATCACAATCATAGTCAGGTGATTCAAAAGGTACATTAATAAGAACATGATATTTTAGAGACAATTTTTAAAAAGTTAAAAAGCTTATAAAATGTTATTTTCAGTTGAGGCATTTTTAGTAAACATTGGGACCATGTTGAATGTGTTATATAATGTCATCTTTTGAAACACTTTTAAAAAAACCTTGACAAATACCTGTGAACATTATAACAGAAAAGTGTGCTGTTTTCTCCTCTCCTTTACTTCCTCTGTCTGTGCTCCCTTTTGCTCTTGCTATTGTACTATAACTCTTTAGTATTCCATATCTGTCCTCGTGTAGCACCAGCTAGTCCTCTTAAATCTCCCTACAAGCCTTCCCCCACCCGAAGCACCGACAGAAAGAAGGCAACGTCACCCTCCACTTCTGATGCCATGAAAGGGGCGGCTGCAGCTGAAGTTACTCAGGTGGGTTTGCAATGGTTTTGATTTCATTTCTGGGTAAACTGATGCGGCTTCTGGTTGTTATCTTTCCCTTTACATTCAGAAAAATAAAGTGTTGTAAAAAACAGCAGTAAGAAGGTAAGCCTTGCATGCATCTGTTGCTTTCGTGCTGCCATTTAGCAGCATTTTAATATCTTCCTCCTCCTGGGAATCAGTCTTGAGCACTGGTATTTGGAACAGCAACACCTTTATTTTCAGGGAAGTGAGATTCCTGGCACTGCTGTATGTTTCTGGACTTGCCTGTAACTTCTGGGAAAGGGGATGACATAGGTTCTCTCTACTGCATATGACTATCCAGTCTTGCTGGTTAATTAGCAAGCTTCACATATTTCAGAAAGTTGCCAAGTGTATTGACAGTGCCTCTGTTTTATACCAATTGCTTAACTTTTTTTGTGGACGTTTTTAATGCTGTTTGTTTAAGAGATGCATTATCGATCCACCGTAGTTTCCAGAAAAGCAAAGGCAAGTCATTCACCTTCACTGAGTCTACACAATGTAAGGCATGTTTTGAAAAATTTATGCTAGGGCTGCAAAATTTACATTAAGTCCTGTGTCTTGTAATAGTTAATAGTAGGGGGATTCATGCCATCTAAATTAGATGCGAGAGGACCAAAGCTGGGAGCTAAAGATTTGTGTACTGTCTTTCTGAGGTATGATTCAGAGTGTTACATCTGGCAGCATTGCTGCGAGATGCCTGGGTGCACTACTGACCACGTCTTGAGGTGTTGCAGGAGTATTTGAGTATTTTGAAAACTCCACCCTGTGCCACCACCCCTCCCAAGAACTCTTGGAGAGGTTCTGATGTGATGTTACTTATCTGCAACTTGCATACTATGTCCATGCAAGACATGGTTGGGACTTTTTTTATGTCTATATAAAATAAAAACTATGTGCCTCAGTTATGAGCTGGTGTTTAAAAAACTTTTATCTTGAACAGATTGGTGTAGTATACATTTATATGCCATCTTGCTAATAAAACTATCACATTTTTTTTTTGATGTGTTGGTCCTAATTATGGGAACTAAAATGAACTGTGTTTCTAGACTGAGAAGATAAAGAAAGAGAAGCGACCCGCAACACCTGGTTCATCATCTGGTATGGGATCTCCTCTAAGAAGGTCTGATTCTCCTGCTGCCATGTCCAGAAGATCCGCGTCACCTGCGACGCCTAAGTATGCCTTTCTTATTAGTGTTCTAATATGCTGGGAGCTTCTTGTTACCTATAAAGGAGACATAGATTCTTGAGGAACTTCCTTTGAAGTGTTGTGTAAAATCTAGTTAATTTTAGTTATACAAACACACACACACAGATGGCAGGGAGGAGGAGAGAGAGAGATTAAATGTAAAATTGTGTTAGTGGTCACTAGAGACACTTCTCTTGCCTCTTCTCAGTCTTTTGAAATTACCATGGTGCATTTTGTAATTCATGTGAAATTGTATTTAATGTTTATTTTTAAACATGCTTTTGTTTTATTTGGTTTTGAAGAAACTCTGCCTAATGCGAAGAAATGCACAGATCATGAATACTAACTAGAAATTCCAGCATTTAAAATATGCATTTCCTATTGCTGGCATGACCATCTGGTTCCATAAATATACTTAACTATGTGTCATCTAAACCATCAGTTTTAATCTTTGCTTATTTGCAGACCTCTGTGGGTTTGCTGCTTTTTGTTGTTGTCCTTTTTCATGAGAGTTGTGGACCTATAGCACATCTGGGTTTAACTAGCAATTGAGTTGCTTTTCTTAGTTGTCTGTTGCAGACACTCAAAGCTGTAGTGTGTGTACCACAGCTTGCAACTCACAAGTCTAAGCAAATGCATCTTCGGCTTTCTTAGAACAGGGTATTAAGTCTGGCTCAAATGCAGAAGTATGCTAAAGTAGTTATGGTCTACAGTAATTGTCTGGTTTTTTGTTTGTTTGTTTGTTTTGCTTTCCCTAGACCCTGTTCATGGGGTCCCAGTTCTGTTTTGAAAATTATCTCCTTTTGTCTGATTTTTTTATTTATTTGGTTTTAATCTGAGCCTGGCCATATTCTGAACCAGTCTTGATTGACCCTCTTTCTGATAAATTTCTTCTGCTTCAAAAACTAGCTGGTGTTCCTTTTCTGTTTCAGCTCTGAGTGCATAGCCCTTTAACAGAGGAAGATTTTGTGTGTGCATCCAGTATTAGACAAAACACAGGAAACCATCTGACTCTGGGCATTTTTTCTGTTTTAGACATCCCTTTGCATGCAACTGGGAAATTGGAATTTTTGGTTCATAGTATAGGGCTACAAATTCTCAAACTTTCAATATTACATATACAATATTACCGGATTCTGAACTATGTACATTTTGTGAAGAATGGAATGATACCAAGTATTAATGACAATCAGGTCTTTTTTCATTACAATTTTGAGCAGATCATTGTCTAATGGCACTTAAAAATGTACAGAGGAAAGTTTGAGCTGTAAAAGTGTGTATTATTCTGTAAGCACTGATATTCCCTGTTCAGAATGCATCTTCTGGTTCACTCAGCCAGTATAAAAGACATACCAGGAGATTGACTTAGTTAAGCAAAATGATTGGTGGGAAATGGATCGCCAAGAGTGAAGCACTTTTTGATGAGCAGACATTGAAAAGTTTGGTATAGCTCATCATAGAGACATCTGGGGAAAAAAAGAAAAAGATTTTGTGAAACAAACAGATGTTTAGTGCTTCGTAAAAAAAAAAAAAAAAAAAAAAAAACAGCCCTCCAATACAAATATAGGGAAAGATGGGAGACTTTTTTCCCAGACGTGTGAATTATTAGAACCTTTTTATAATAAAATGTTTTCATGTCTGTAAGGAATATAAACTGCTGTTTTTAGAGGAAGAAGCAGATGATGTAGGGAGGAATTAAGCCTACCGGTGGGTTTCTCTGTGGTTGTGAGCCACAGTAGTTATCCTTTTTTGTCCTTTTTTTCCTCCATCTCTTCCTCAAGAGAATCTGACTCTGACCACTGCTAGAAATGTATTACTGAGCATTTAATCTTAACATGGCCCAATTAGAACACCCTCCTTGACCTTATGAGATACAGTAAGTAGAGTTTAAATCCATGTTTATTACTGATTGCAGAAGGACAGTTCTCTTCAGAACTCTCGAAACTTCCCCTCAGAAATTTAAAATAAAATAAAAAAAGGTGTCCTGATCACCATATATTATTACTATATAAAGATGTGAATTTCTTCATACAAGTGGAATGCCAGTTAACAATCTGGCTGGTCAGTGGATTTAAAAATAGGCAGCTCAGGCTTCTGTAACCTTCCTTTAGATTGTATAATCTTACCTTTTCATTTAAAATTAACTGTGGAACTTAAGGATAATTTTAATGTGACTAAATATGTAGACAAATATTCATTCTCCTTGCAAACCTGACGATCTTTTACAAGTTTAATCTTTCTCCTTTCAGCACATCATATGGCCCAAAAAAAACCCCTTGAAGAAGTAAGAAATACATATTGTACAGCATTAGTAGTTAGTGATCTTGCATAGCACCTTAACTTCAAAAGCTGTTGAGGAAATAAGCAAGTATGGCCAGTGATTTAAATGATAATTAGCTGTATGCATTTCTCTTAAAAGTTATGTGACTTGACATTCAAATTTTCTTGGTATTGTTCTAGTTACTAGTTCTTCAAAGTTGTCATCTTGATGTGTGAGTGGTAGTTGCTTGTCTTCTTTATATGTTATTTCATTATTAATTAAAAAGCTCTTTATCATGGTAAAGTAACTGAAACAGGCTGAAACAAGACAGTAAATCCTCAACCTAAAGAGAGACAGTGATTGATGGCAGAATAGATTCACAGTAATTGCATAAACAAAATACAGATGTTTGAAGGTGCAAATTTTATGGAGAAAGAAAAAAAAAAATCACCCCAAAATATAACGTCCAAGACAAAATGAGTGAACAAATACAGACCTAAAAAGGAGAAAAGGGGAATAAAAATAAGTTGAGCAATAATTAAAAGCATGGAAGGAATCCAAAGCTTGAAGATATCTGAAGAAGTAAATATATCAAGACATGTCACCCAAGAAAGCAACCCAAAACTATTGCTTTGAATCCAGTGTGGATCAGTTGACAAAGATGAAAGTTAATGGATGAGGGAGCTGGGATAATGGAGAAATTATCTTTTATTTTTACAATTGCTATTGGATACTGATTGTGTAAAGTGCTCCTGTTCTTCAGATCTTTCACAAGATCAATAATGCCGGTTTTCTTTGGTAAATTTTTTTTCATGCTTCATCTTCAAAGATCTATACATTAATCCGTTTATTCTTGCAGTATCCCTCAGAGAGTTGGTAAGTGTCCTGTCCTATAGATTGGCAAAGCGATAAAGCCTGTGTCCTTCATCTGTCTTTGGGTAAATAGTCCCTTTGAAATCAATGGGATCTGACTGAATCAACGAAGCAGGATTTAGTTTTAAGTGTCTTCAGATAAGCCATAGTATAAGTGAATAAAGATGCAAAGCTCTGACAAGCCTACGTTAGATTATTTTGCTAAAACATTACCTCATATGAGAAGGAGAAAGGGGCAGGGGGAAGAGGGACTGCAGCACTGCTGGTGGTTCTTGGTTCATTTCCAGGTCCCAGTCTGTTTCACTGCCCTTTGCTCACCATCTCAGTAACTGAACCCATAAATTACTGGTTCTTTCGGGCAACATCCCACTGGAGCCGTTGGGACACACTTTGTCGTCAGAAATGTACATGTGCAATCAAATTACAGAATACCAATGAAATATGAACCTAGAGTAGTACAAAAAAGCCCAAATTTCTAAAAGCTTTTTAAATGACCTATTAGAAAGGTAGTCTGCATGTGGTGAATTCCTCACAGAAGTAGCTTCTATGTTGTTGGTGGCCGGTCACAAGCGGTGTCCCCCAGGGCTCAGTTCTAGGGCCGGTTTTGTTTAATATCTTTATCAATGACCTGGATGAGGGGATTGAGTGAGCCCTCAGTAAATTTGCAGATGACACCAAACTGGGTGGGAGTGTCGATCTGCTTGAGGGGAGGAGGGCTCTGCAGAGAGGCCTGGACAGGCTGGATCGATGGGCTGAGGCCAACTGCATGAGGTTCAATAAGGCCGAGTGCCGGGTCCTGCACTTTGGTCACAACAACCCCATGCAGTGCTACAGGCTTGGGGAAGAGTGGCTGGAAAGCTGCCTGGCAGAAAAGGACCTGGGGGTGCTGGTTGACAGCCGGCTGAATATGAGCCAGCAGTGTGCCCAGGTGGCCAAGAAGGCCAATGGCATCTTGGCTTGTATCAGGAATAGTGTGGCCAGCAGGAGTAGGGAAGTGATCGTGCCCCTGGACTCGGGTGTGGGGGGCGAC